GATAAATAGATGTGCGAGTTGATACAACAATACAATATCGTTAGCTAACAATAACATGATGGTGGTCTCGAGGAAGGGAAAGTCTCCTCGATAACTGATGTATTGCTAGTGTTGAAGCGATCAACCATTGAGGTAAGCGGATCCGGTGACGCCATGTTAAGATTCTATCATAACATCTTTACCTTTCCATTAGCTCGCCAGAGATGAGCTTAAACTAGTCGTGGATCCTAGAATTTGCTTCTATACGTAGATAGTCACTACTCCATATCTAACCTTCCTCCGTAATGTTGTCTTGTCTATCGGCCTTCTCCCCTCCCCCAAATTGTTAAGATGGCAAAAATATCTATAACCGTAGATATCCGTCCGAATCCGACCTAATCGGATAGGGTAAAACCCGAACTCGAAAAATTTTAGCGGGGCGGACCTAGGGCAAGGGGACACCGCCCGAAAATTTTATGAAAGACCTCCATTTCTACGGTACAAAATTTTTTAATTTGAAACTTCTGACACCGCTCTAATAATTATAAGCGACACACTTTCATTATACGACAATAGTTTTAATATTATAAAGTTCTTCATCATAATTAGTAATTAACAATAATAAGTAAAATCAAATAAACATGCTTGTTTTAAGTAACCCACAACCCAATTTAACTTGTCGATTTGTAATTAATAGGTGAATTGCGTATATTTATGGGAGATTGTGGTTTGATTTTGGTTAATTTGATAGAACTAGAGAAAAAATGCTAAAGATATTACTTAAGCATACTTTGTTTTTTCTAAAATAGTCGATTGGTAGCAAACTAATTAATTTTAACTTAATTTGATTTTAGAGTAGGTCGATTCTCTTTAGTTGAGTGACTAATTTATGAATAATTATGTATTTGGGTATATCGAAAAAGGTTTTGATTAAAGTGGTCACTCAATTGCATTTCTACTATTTATTTTCTCAATTTATCCTCATCATCATTGATAAATTACAATTTGATACACATATTTTTTTTATATATGTAGAAATTCTCTTGGCGGGGGGTATGTGTATCTCCCCGCCCCATATCCATCAAACTTTTTGCGGGTTTTACCCATATCCCCCCCCCCATACCCGGTCAAAGCGGGGATTTCCTGTGTTGACTGGGTCAAGGGCGGTCGGGTACCCGCGGTCATGAGTTTGATTGTCATCCCTAGTTAGCAGGAGTCTTAGCTTCAAGATTTGTTAGCTGTAAGAAAGCCTTATATGCTTGTAGGGATGGCAATGGGTTGGGTCGGGGACGGATAGTGCATATCTGTTACCCTACCCAAAGTAGTTCGGGTTTTACCCATACCCGCATAAGAAACGGTTAGAAAATTCAAACCATGCCCATACCCGTTCGTGTTTCGGGTATCCACGGTATCCATGGATAATAATTTTTCTTTATAACTCCAACCAATATGTTAATATTTACATGTATTCTCCCGTTACGTAAGATGAAAAGTACGACAATAATTCACTAGAATGAAGAAAATTAATTAAAACAACACAATTTCATGAACATTTTATATTTATATGCTAAATACAAAATATGCTAGAGAAAAATATTGATTATTTCTAGACAAAGTGCATATGCAAATGTATAATCGGGCAAGTTCGGGTTGGATAGTGAGAAATCCATGCCCACCCATTACCCGCAATATTCGTGTTCGGGTTTTACCCGTACCCACTAAAAGTTAGTGGCGTACCCAGGATTATTGAAGAGGGGTGTCGCCGATAAAAAATTATAATAAATAAAATAATTAAATAAAATTTTAATAGAAATTACTGGAAATTCATTTATAAGTTCACAACGTCATGTTTACTACGAATTATGACGATTTTTCATATCCTGAGATTTTTAAAAAATACATTCATCGTTTTATGTTGCAAATCAAACCTTTTTCGATATACCCAAATACAAGATTATGTTAGTTAATTATTACTTAGTAGATCTATTAGAGTTAGAATAATATAATTTGAAAAATATTATACTCTATATTATGTATTAATGGATATTTTAGAATCATATTCTTTGAATCATATTAAAAAAATGATTGTGATTTGTTGACTTCGTGATATAATATGTTCGTTTAGAGTTATAATTAAAACTTTTTTTGTAAGTTTTAGGTATAATAATGTTGGATGTACGGGTATGGATATTACCCATGGGTACCTGAAACCCACGGGTACGAGGATGGGTTTGCAAAACATTCCCCCGCATGAATATGGGGAGGGTATGAGTTTGGGTATTTGAAGATGGGGATGGGGATGGTTTAGGAAAACTCGTCCCAAACCCACCTTATTGCCATCCCTACTGCTAACTTGCACACTTCTGTGTAGGGTTGGAAATCTGGTCTTAGTTTCTCGATCAAGATGGAAACTGGCCAGTTAAAACAGTTCCGGTTAGTACCGGATACAATCAGGTCTCGTCCGAATTTCGGTTGTTGATATTTGGGTAAAAACAATATCAGTTGTAATAATCTGGTTAAAAACGCAAAAACCCACCCCTGAAGCCCAACAACCATAATACCCTCTGAACTCTCAACACAGCCCAGCACCGTCCTCCCTCCCGCCTCACATCCTCACCTTCACCTATCTGTAGGGGTGGTAAACGGTAATCCGGTAAACGGTTTACCATTTTACTGGAGGTATCATTAGCCGAGCGGGAAGTTGGGGAAGTCGGTTTACCGGACACGGTATCAGTAAATATCGACGGTAAATCGGTTTTACCGATACCGAAATCCCCCCTCCCTACTCCACTAACATATAACATATACATCATTATTCACAAATATAAAATATTACATACATGAACGTAAGTAAGTATAGGCCTCAAAAATATTGTAAATAAGAGTTCATAATAAATTATTAATTACAAAAATGATGAAAAAAACTCAAAAAAATCAAAATATTACAACATCACCCCACTTCCAAAAATTCGATTCAGTAAATATTGGGTAAATCGACCGAAAAACCGCCCGAAGTCGCTTCTCACGGTATTTTGGTAATACCGGTTTGTAACCGTTTACCGGTAATTCGGTAATCGGTAAACCGGTTACAAACCGGTATCGGTAATCGATAACCAGTTTGGCCAGTTTCGGTATACCGAAACCGGTAAATTCGGTAAACAATTTACCGTTTACCGACCGAATCCCACCCCTACCTATCTGTCCATCTCCATTCTAACGTCTCCAACTCGCCGCCGCGTCGCCACTCTCTCTTTGCTCTCCGCTCTAGAAGAAGAAGTCGAGTAAAAGAAGCGGTTGAACGTCGCACAACCGTCGAAACAGCTGTCGACTCACCTCTCTTCCTCGACCGCAACGTGATGCCCCCTTCTGGCCTAGCTGCCAAGGTCTAGTCACTTCTCACGACGACATCAATGTCAGACCGCACCCGATCTAGTCACCTCTCTTCTCACTCTCACTAGTCAATTTGAGACCGTCTCAGATCTGCACCCTCTGTCTCAATCTCTCCCAGATCGAAACATGCAATAACAATAGTGAAGCAATAACAAGTGAAAGGGGAGAGAAACAGAGAGGGAAGCCGCAACGGTGAGGATGACTCAGCGATAGTGGTGGCGATGGCTATAGCGACGACGAGGAAGATGCGAGAATGCTGGCGATGGTCACGGTTGCGTTGATGGTAGAGAAGGTAGTGAAGTATCGGTGGCGCTCTTTGAAGTAAGAGGGGAGAGAAACAAAGATGGAGGGAGCGACAGATATGGCCATTTGGGGATTTGGGGTCTTGGGGATGTCCGATCTGCACCTTAGGCGTTTTGGACTTTTGGAAGAGAATGAATAGAAACGGTGGTGTTTGGAACAAGGGAGGATTTCCAGTTTTTTTGTTGAAACCGGATTTATCTTGTCCAATCACGGTTGAAACCTAATCCCCATCCAATCCGATTTTCGATTGCTACTTTGATAAAAACAGTTTTAAAAAACCAGGTCAATCCGATTTGGTTTAAACCGAACTGGACTGTTTCCCAACCCTGCTCGTGTGGATGGCACGAACAATGTGGAGGCAAACTTGATGGTGATCGACGTTGCTAGTGGTAGAGTTGGACAAGTACTGCATATGACGGTTCAACAAATTTCTAAACGATCGGGGTTACTATTACATTGGTAATCGATGAGTTCTCCTTGGTTACGACCATCACAGTAACAACTACAGACAGCGGTCATAATGACAATGACGAAGTGGTGGTCGTAGTTGTTGGTGCGAATGCTAGTAGGATTTGAGCTAGGGTTAGCTCGTTGTTTGGTGAAGCGATGGATTTCAACGGTAGAATTGGGGCTACATAAGCTAGCTCTTGCGAGGACTCAACGTTGGGTTTCGAGGTTGTCCTCGATTGTATCCTCTTTTGGAGAGTCGTTATTGGGTGGTTGTACTCCTCTCGTCTCTCGTCTAATCGTGTCCATAATTCTTCCATTCTTGATTGTTGCCTCGTTTGGAGATAGGTCATTTTGTGGTTGTGCTTTCTCTCGACTCTTGCCTAACCATGCGAATAATTCCTCCATTCACATCCTGAATGATTGTTGGAGAACCAGACTCTGATATCAATTGTTACGAGACATGATCTTTGGTTTCCAGACTTTGGATATGTTGCTCGACACTATCGAGTCGAGGATCTCTTTAATAGCGAGAACTACACCAAATACTACAAAAATTACTAATTGAATAATATAGCAAGAATCAATTAGTGTATTATCATTTGATGTATTGAATCAATTGATGTATTAGACAAATACTTTGTTTGGAGGTTTAGAATGTGTTTTTGTTGTAAAGCCATAAAAGTTAATTTTGAGTGATTGTGAACAATCTCAACAAAAAGTAGAGATTCACAATCCCTCAATTTTGAGTGATTGTGGTGGGGCATCCAAAAAGTGAATGCATGCATTCTAGTTCAATATAACCCAAAAAACGACTTAATCTCACAAATACATGAATTAACACAATACACCATTTGAAATCACAACTTCCAAACGACCCCTAAATTGAATTCCAAATTTTTTCATATTATTACTCATAAACAAACCACATATTTATAGAGTTACACAACTAAATCTCTTTCCTTGTCACCCTAGACTTTTGCATCTCTCCTTCTCGTTCTCCTACTTGAATTCCTTTTCCTTCCCTTACAAGACCATTAGTTAAGTACTAAACAATAATAAACACATCTTCTAATCCAACTAAAACACCCATAACTATTAATTATATCCACAACCCAAAATAATACGAAACGTATAATAATAAAGGAAATCGATTAAACTATAACGGTAACCCATAAATTGTCGAATTATCACCATGGCGTGTCCCGTGACAGGACCACCGTTAGTTACGACAATTTGCTCCTACGAACTCATCGGAACTTGCGAATGAAGTCGATGATTTGGCCGCTGATCTCGTCGGCCTTTTCTTCCTGGAGAAAATGGCCGACGCCTTCCATCACCACCACCTCCTGCAGAAACGGGACGTCCTTCTCGAAACCACCATTGTGTATGTAAACTCTGGCATTCCCAGCGTGATAGGCCATGTCGTGATCACCGACAATAAACTTCACCGGCACTTTCACTTGATCCCCTTGCCACGGAGCAGTCAACTCCCAGTTCCTGCAACAAATTAAGAAAGAAAGGATGACAAAGTCAAACCCTCATATAGGAAGGGGGGGGAAAAACGAACACAATATTGAAAGAACAAACATATACTGTCGGAGCAACTTAATTATTATTATTACCGATCGACGTTCCGGTAGTAGTTCAATCCTCCGGTGAAGCCCGTCTTCTCGTACTTGTCGGCGAAGTACCTGAGATCCGCCTCCGACAACCAGGGAGGCAGGGGAATTGGTGTGCCGGGGGAGCTACCGAACAGTACTCTGCCTTTGGGCAAGAAAAGTGGAGCTGGAGAGTGCAGCGTGAAGAACCCTTTGAGAACTTCCTCTGTACCTAGCTCCGCAAATTCTGCTTCCATCACACCTGGCTCCTGAACGAATTATCAAACCATATATGAGACCACCGTTATTCTAATGGTTTCAAGTATATCGGAAGTGGGATTTTCATTTTCCCCCAAAATATTATACCTACTATAAATTCTTAGAATACCATTTACATTAAATATTGGCAAAATTCACTTCTATAGCTATAACTTTGCACTTTGTGACAAATATAGCCAGATTCTGAGAAATACACAAATATAGCCACATTTTGTAAACTTGCTTGACTAATATAGCCATTTCCGTTAAATAATTTGACGCCGTCAATAATTCCGTTAGTTAAATGGATGTCATTCTGATGTGGCTGCCACGTCACGGCCACGTCATGCCCACATAGACCCCTCACTGCCACATAATCGCCACATCACATTTTCAAATAAAAAACATAAAAATTTCAAATGGAGATTTTTAATATCCATTCTTTCCACTTCTTATCATAATTACATGGGGAAAAAAACGAAAAAAAAAAGATATGCAAATCCCTCCTCGCCACTGCCGTAACAATCTCCCCAAACCCAGATCCATGATGGAGAAAAACAGAGACGCTCACTCAAATCACTAAATCGCTTCCCTAGCCTGTAACATTCTCCCCAAATCCCTCCTGTAAATCACAAAATCGCTTCCCTCGTCTGTCTTTCCGGCCGCCACACTTCTCATTCTGCCACTCAAATTTGAAGACTTATCCACCGTCTTCTCTGGCGCAACATCTCTCCTTCGCTGTCACGATCAGCTGCGAGAGAGAGAGAGAGAGAGAGAGAGAGAGAGAGAGAAGACGATGAGGCGGAGTTAACCTTGGCGCACAATCCCCACACAATCGACAACCCTAAAATTGGATTTTTAGGAGCTATCCCTCTCGATCGACAAACTCTGCATAATCTCCTCACAATCGACGAACCCTAACACTAGCTCCCTACACAAGCGCCGTCGTCTCTCTCCACACAACTCTGTTGCTGCTCTGTCTTCTAAAATCTTTCAAAAGGGGCTGCTCTGTCTTCAACTTTCCAGATCTTGCGAATTCAGAGCTCAGAGCTCTGCCCCTTCAATGGCGATTCCCAGAAATCGGAGGAGCAATCTGCTCGTTCTCTCCCTCATCAGATCCCAGTTGATAAAGTGGGTTAGCAAAGATGAGGTTCGTTCTCCCCCTTGCTCGATGCTGCCTTCTTCCTCTACTTCTCTGCTTCAACGACGACGACGGTGAATTTGGTGACTGAGAATCATCTGGATCTGAAGGTTAGTTTCTGTGGTGGGGCTTGAGGGAGGAGTGTGAGGAGGCGGAGGACGGCTTTGGCGGCGGCGACAAATACGGCGGAGGAGGAGAGGAAGCTTTTGGAGATCGAGATTTTTGGCAGATTGAAGTTTTGTGTGGTGGTAGATGAAAGGGGTTTGGGGAGTTGGAGGAAAGATGAAGAAGGGGCGGATAGATGAATTTTTTTCTTTTTTTCATCTTTTTATTTAGCATAATAAATATAAATAATTGTATTTTCCACCATGGCATGCCACATAGTCCAAATTAAACGCGGTCAAATATGACGGTTTGTCCAGTCAGCAATCGTTATATTTCCGTTACATTAATGGACGGAATGGCTATATTTGTGTATTTCTCAGAATCTGGCTATATTTGTCACAAAGTGCAAAGTTATGGCTATGGAAGTGAATTTTGCCTTAAATATTTATCAAAATAGACAAGTTTGGGAGTGCGGATACCATGATTAAGGGGTGTGCTTAGTCACTTGGCTAAGCCCCTCCCAGCAGGGGCGGATACATGGGCCTCTAGGGGTGTCCCGGGACACCCCTAAAATTTGGGAAAACGATTATCTAACCTCCGGTAGTAGTTTCGTATGGGTATACAAAATATAATTGGTAATTCGGGACACCCTAACATTTGAAAAAATGATTATCCTACTCTCGATAATAGTTTGCTTATGATTAACAAAATATAAGTGGTAGTCCGTGTTATTCCAACCTAGGACACTACTATTATCAAACATATTCTAATTATGTTGCTACTCATTTGTTATTCTATTTTAAACATCATGCAACTAGTAAAAAGCTATTTCTTTATCCCCAACTATTTTCAATACCTAATAATTAAACTACGTACACGCTACCCTTAATTTTGAATTGATTTTATGGTTACACGGCAAGTGTTGAAAGAGTCTTTTCTACTTTGAGCTACATTAAGAACAAGGTTAGAAATCGAATATGTGATAAGTTCGTGAAGTATTGTCTAGTAGGATATGTAGATTTTTTTTGAACAGTGCAGACACTAAGTTTATTTATATTATTTTTTTAAAAATATGAAAACACATCATGAATTTTAATAAAAAATTTATACAAGTATGATATTTTTAATATATGAATTATTTAATTTATTATTTAATTAAATTTAATTTTTGAAGAGGACACCCCTGTGAAAATTTTCTGAATCCGCCACTGCCTCCCAGCCATTAGATCTGGATACAGCAATCTGACGGTTAAAAAGTGGGAAGGGCTCTTTAATTAATGACAGGGGTAGCTTGGGTATTATAGAAAATTATGAAGTATACAAACCGGAATTGCAATCAGTACAAACCATACAAACAGTACAAACTACAACGACAAAACATACAAACAGATTTACAAACATTACAGATGTATGAACTGTACAAACAATACAAACAAGACCGACAAACAATACAAACCATACAAAAAAAGAAAAAACAACCAGGTTGACTTTGGAGGCTCCATTCCTATATAGAAGTCCCCGACCCAAAGTCAACCCGGTTGTTTTTTAGACATACAAACATTACGAACATGGTGGACAAAAATTACAAACTAGACTGACAATCCATACAAACTTGAAAAAACACCCGGGTTGACTTTGGAGGCTCCATCCCTATATAGAGGAGTTCCATCCAAAAGTCAACTAGGCTGTTTTTTTAGACATAAAAAATATTACAAACATGGTTGACAAAAATGATAAACATGGTGCACAAAAATAACAAAGCTTACAAATATTACAAAAGAAACCGACAAATATTACAAAATAACGAAGCGTACAAACATTAAAAAATAAATCAACAAACAGTACTAAGCAACTCTCTCTCTCTCTTGAGTTCACCTGGGCCAATTCATTCTCCATGTCTCCTGCCCCAAAATAAATGGACAGCAACCGCAAATTAGAGTCGCCGCCGGCTAGAGGAGACGCCGGAAAAGAAACCAAAGCTGGCGGGAAATTTTTCCAGCCGGGGGAACCGCGAAAGTCGGAAGGCAGCAGCGGCCAAAATGTATTTATCTTTGTTTATTATCTAAATTAATAGATTAAATAATCAAGCAATTGCTATATTGTCCTTTATTAAATTGGATTAATCTGGGTCATTGGATTTTAATGAGGTGCAAGGGTTGGAGACTGGAGATTGACTTAGTCATGTGACTAAGGGACCCCCCCTTAGTCACCTGAACTTAGCTCCAAGTTTGGAGTGATTTGTAGGAGTATCCAGCGATCTATGATTCTATGTACTTGTTCGCAGGGGTAGTAGCGAACCAATGTGGATCGCAATCGCAACTAACAAAAGTGAACCAGTGTTGAACAAACTTGAATCGCCGCAAACATGAGCGAGAATCCATACTAGATCCAAAGATTTCCTATTTTTAGGGATGGTAACGGTTCGGGGGAAGATAGTGCATATCGATTACTCTATCCAAAGTACTTCGGATTTTACCCATATATATACCCACATAAGACTCAGATAGAAAATCAAAATCATGCCAATACGGCAATACCCGTTCGGATTTCAAGTATCCATGGGTGTCTCTGGGTAATAATTTCTCTTTATAACTCCAATCAAAATGTTAACATTTACATGTATACTCACATTATATAAGTAAAAATGTACGAGAATAATTCACTAGAATGAAAAAAGTTAATTTTTCTCGTACCCAATTAGATCGGATTTGAACGGACATTTTTTTCTATCCGTATCTATTTTTTAAATTTTGTTGTAGTAAAAGTTGTAGTTCTTGAAAAGTTACCTAAAATAATTTTTTTTTAATAACTTCTCAAAATTCCCTTAATTCCAAAAACCTTTTCTGTGTAAAAAAATTTGCATGACCGGAATTACGGAGGACAAAGTTACATTATCCAAAGTTCATTGTAATCACAAAATGGATTGTCTGATGTAGCAAAAGAACTTTTTTTTTGTGACAAGACCAAACCGCCTTTCCATGTTTTTGAAGCTTTGAACTTGAAGATCTCGAAAATTTTATGCACAATTAAAAAAGTTGCTACGCTCGGATGATGGAGAGCAAAGTTACGGCCATTTGAGGTTTCAACGCGTGTTAGGTGTAAATCACTCGTTTGTATAGCGATTTTGATGGCAAGACCACTAGAGTCATCAACAATTTGTGTACGCGTGGTGCCCTCATGTTTATTGCAATTTTTGACGATTCGAGGCTAGTTCGTTTTGGTTGATCACAGTCCGGGTTAGATCGCTTCACACTAAATCAAATCACGTCAAACTCTAGTATTTTGCAAAATTTTAGTACAAAGTGTGCTACTACTGACCTGAAACCTGCACGAGTAGTAATCCTCTCCATAGTACGCCTTCAACGACGGCATGGGTCTCCGATTAGAGCTCCGGTGACCAAACGGGACGCTCAAGTTGACCGCCGCCTTGACCTTGTCGGGCCTCATCAAGCACAAATGCCAAGCCATTGCAGCTCCCCAGCCGTGCCCCACCACAAAAACCGCCCCCTGCGACGGCGCCACCGCCTCGATCAGCGCCACGAGGTCGCCGACGACATGGAGGACCGTGTAGCTCCCCGGATCCTCCGGGGCATCGGTGTCGCCGTAGCCTCTCAGGTCGGGGGCCACGGCGCGGTAACCGAGGGAAGCCACGGCGGCCATCTGGCGCCGCCAGCTGTACCAGAGCTCCGGGAATCCGTGGAGGAAGAGGATCACGGCGCCGTCGGTGGGGCCGGACTCCGCCACGTGGACGTTTATGCCGTTCAGGCTCTGGTTGCTGTGGCGTATTCCGTCCATGTCAGGCCGGGCTTTCGTTTCTGAGGAAAAGCTAGCTTTTTAGAGCTCTGTTTGGAAGCTGACAAACACTTACTACCGCTGTACTTTTGCCCACCTTCCTCTTCTCAACAAATTATAGCTACCAGCGACGCAGCTGTCGGGGGTTGACGTAGAGAAAATATCAGTACAGTACTGGAGAAACTTAATGGCGGACGGCATCTCCCAAATAGGGAATATTACAATGCGGGAGGGAGCTGCAACATGGTTATTCAAAGTTCGTGACAGGTTTTAATCGGGCAATTCAAATGACTTTGCAACCGGAATATAAGGTTACGAAAACTACGTTGTGGTTAAGAAACTTTGTTCATAATTATGAGCCACTCATTTACACGAAAACCTGCAGCGCAGGGTTTTCCCAACAGCGAGGAGGACAATAGGGAATAGACGAGCTATATCTGTGAACACATGGATCTTTATTTATTTATATAAGCCTACTTTGCTTGCAAGTAAAGACACATCACTCTGTATCCGCCAAGTTACAGACGCTTTCCCTATTTGAGGCATTGACTGGCCAACAAGTTTGCAACCACACTCATGAACATGTTTCTGGCAGTACATACAACAAGCATACAGTTCAGATCACTGACCGAAGATTCAGAACTTGCGAATGAATTCGACGATGTGGCAGCTGATCTCGGCAGCCCTTTCTTCTTGGAGGAAATGGCCGACGCCTGGCATCACAACTACTTCCTGCAGAAACGGAACGTCCCTCTTGAAACCCCCTTTGCTAATGTAGTCCCTGGCATTCCCAGTGTTGTAGGTAAGGTCCTGATCTCCGACGATGAACTTCACCGGCACTTTCACTTGGTCTCCTTGCCACGGTGCAGTCAGTTCCCAGTTCCTGGGAACGAAAGGTGACAACAAACCCGCACCATGTTCAAAAAAAACCCAGCACGAGATTGGAAAGAACAGAACATATGGTAGAGAACTTATTCTACCGGTCGATGTTTCGATAATAGTTCAGTCCTCCAGTGAAGCCCGTCTTCTTGAACTTGTCCGTGTAGTACTGGAGATCTACCTCCAACAGCCAAGGTGGCAGGGCGATTGGTGTGTCGGGCCAGTGGCCGAATAGCTTGCCCTTGGGCATGTAAAGGGGAGCTGGGGTGTGGTAAGCTAAGAACTTCTTCATAATGCGCTCTGTATCTAGCTCTGCAAATTCTGCTTCTATCACCCCTGGCTCCTGAACAAATCAAACCAACGAAAGTTTGCACCCATTTTCCTCAATCAGCGTCATAGAAATACAAACAACTCGAATTATTGGAACAAATTGATTATGTTATATGCTTAGATGTCTTCAAACTGTTGTATTCAAATCCTAATAAACCTTAATTGTACTATCTGGTTTGAGTGGCTTATTGTGAGTAACCACCGTTGAATTTTCCTTAAAATCTCAGTGAGTGAGAATTCAATCCTGAGAGCAGAGTGTACCAATCACCATATCATACCCCATAAGCACTCTCTTTGGACTAATCAAGTTCAAACTCAGTAAACTTGACTCCATTACTGAAATCTACATCAATCAAGAGCCGAGCGTTCTAATCAATCTAACACTAAAGTAATCCCCCAAAGGTGGCACCACCAGTTATACATAGACAGAGAGCAGCAGCAGCAACAGAAGAAGAAGAGTAACAGTACCTGAAACCTGCAAATGTAGTAATCATCGCCCAAGTAAGCCTTCAACGACGAAAGGGGTTTTCGATTAGGGTTCCGGGGACTGAAGGGAACGCTCATATTGACCAGCGCTTTCACCTTATCGGGCCTGAACAAGCACAGATACCAAGCCATGGAAGCTCCCCAATCGTGGGCGACCACGAAAACCTTCTGCCCCGGAGCCACCGCGTCGATCAGCGCAACGAGGTCGCCGACGATGTGGAACACCGTGTAGCTCCCGGGATCGGCCGGCGCGTCCGTGTCGCCGATGCCTCGCAGATCGGGCGCCACCGCGCGGTACCCGTGGGAGACGACGGCGGCCATCTGGTGGCGCCAGCAGTACCAGAGCTCCGGGAATCCGTGGACGAAGAGGACGACGGGGCCGTCGGCCGGGCCGGACTCCGCCACGTGGACGTTTATCCCGTTGAGGCTGAGATTCCTGTGCCTAATCCCGTCCATGGCGGCGGCGGTAGGGTCTGTTTCCGTGGGATTAGGATCGGAAATACCCTCTGTGTGGCTGCGTGGATGCTGAGAAAGTGGGGAATTCCGGGGAGGAAATGCTGATTAGGATTTAGGATGGAGTTATGGTAACTGCGAGAGCGACTGCTACTAACCGTGGAAGAGAGTTAACGCCGGAGGCCGGAGGTGGACGGCATAACCGATTTTCTTGGGAAGATGTATTTTATGTTATTGGAAGCAAGGTCGAATGAGATGCAGCCACGTGTTATCCGAAGCGTTGTGGGCTTTTCTGGAAGGATGGATCACGAGGTGGGGGATCCAGGATATTTGCTTAGTCTAATGGAAAAGTGGGCCTTTGACTTTTGAGCCCAGCCCAAATTCAAGAGAGGTAAATAGTAAATACTATAGCCATTAGCCAAACCTTTGTCTTAAGCAAAATAACAGGAAAAAAATATCAAAATACCAAAAAATAGTCTAAATGACTTATACAAATTATGTTAATAATGCTTTGGTTAAAATTATGCTGATGTGATACTCATTCCGAATTACGAATCCATCAATAAATGATACAACATTAAATTTGAGTAGAATACAAGGACAAAATAAGAAGTTTTTGGTATGTAAATGTCATTCGATATATGTGTGGTAGTAAGCATATTATAGATTAATCTCGAACATATTTTAATAGCTGACTATGCTAATATAAAGATGTGTTTGTTTTAAAATCGTAATATGGGAGACCAGACATATTTAGCAAGACACCATGAACTCCACCTTCGGACCATTTCTATATTGAACTTCATTACCAAAAGTTTAGCGATCATCCCAACTCAACCAAACATTCATTCATTTAGTGACATTTAACATTTCCCTCATTAGCGATATGTTTTCCACTTTCCAGTTATAAAAGGGTGGCCGGAAAGCTACCTTTGAACCATTGGAAGATGAATTGTCCATATCATGCATAACACCTAAAAGACACCTTTGCTGCATCACTTGTTTCCCCTTTGTTGCACTCCAAAGTGTTCGTGGCCACCTAGTAGGCCTACCTTACATACGTCTAACGATTAAAATTTGGTTGAGATTTTCGTACTAATTATAGAAAACATACTACTCTTTTATACGCCTTTTCAAACGAAAGTCAACTCACGAATTTGAAATTTGTATAGATTTGCTATATCCTGTGTTTAATCAACTGTTATTGATATTGGAGGTTGTGGAGATTCGAACACATATACAACCACTTGGTCAAACCAGCTCTGTTACCATGTTATAAACCAATTGGTGGAAATAACTTGAGATGTTAGGAAAATTCTAATTATAATTCATATACCACTCTCTTACACTATTCTCTCTCCACCAACAAAGACACAAACAAAAAGGATAGAGAAGTAGACATGGAGTTCCACCGTTAGACATATGTAGTACCAAAATTTGTTGACGTTATGTTTGACCCGGATTAGTATCGGGGGATTTGTGTGGAACCTTGATCCGGACTCCCTCGTCTGATCTCCTCGGGAGTGGAAGAATCCTGTGGAGAGTCGGGGGGGGCCCCCGTGATCTACACTCCGACGCTCAAGTTAGGAGATGGTATAAGATAGTGATAGTGGAATGTAGAGAGAGATATGGTTTAGAGAGAGAACCATAAGTGGTAAAATGTGGGAAGGGAGAGAAGTCTCTTTGCTTTGAGGGTCTGGCCTCCTTATATAGGAGTCGGAGGCATCCAGTGGATGCCTTCCGGTGGTGGGCGCCTCCCGTTGTAATGGATGCCCTCGATAGACTGGACACCTCCCGTCGATGGACGCTTCCCATGATTGACGCTTCCCATGATTGACACCTTCGGGTAAAGGACGCCCCCGGGTGGACTGGACTTCTCCCAATGTACTGGATCCTAGAATGGGCTTGGGCCCAGAGTGAAACGCTTTGTGGTGACTTGGGCCCGTATTAGGCAGGTTAATACTGGACCCAACACGTTATAATAATTAGTAAAGATGAGACCATCTCTTAAATGAATTCAATTAAAAATTAAAAAAGTAGACTCGAACCATAATATTTTGCCGGATATTACAAAACATACCCACCATTATTCACGCTCTTTTGGTCGTACGATCGTGTTGCATACAAAACTAGGGCTGCAAATGAGCCGAGCTGAGCCGAGTTTTACCCCAGCTTGAGCTTGACTCATTAACAAATGAGCTGAGCTCGAGCTCGAGCCATTTATTAACGAGCCGAGTCGAGTCGAGTTCGAGTTAGGCTTGTTTACTTAATTCTCAGTTCGTATTTGATACATTCATTTTGTAAGTCGTGTACTGTATGGTACATGTGATTGATATAATGATAAAAATAATAATAATCAAATGTTCAACATTAATTAATCTTATATAATAATTTGAAGGTGTTATATTGTTTAGTTAATAAATTTTAACTAGTCCAAATCATGTTATTTCATAGTATCGAAACAATTTTGTACATATTTCATTATAGAATTAAAAATAAGACATATTTTCTTTCATGTTAAACTTCACATGAGGTGAGATATATAATTTAACAATCTTATGAATTATGAAAGTCCAAATTAGATCGATTCGTCCATAAGTCAGTGATCAATTGCAAGTTGACCCTCAAACCACAATGTTGAGACATCTCATGAGCTCTAAATGAGCCAACTCACGAGTTGAGCTCAACAAGCCACCGAGTCGAGCTAGCTCGCGAGCTTCACGAGCTGAACAAAGCTAAGCTCAAGCTTGGCTCGTTAGTAAACGAGTCGAGTTTCGAACGAGTTTTTCCCGATCCGAGCCTCGAGTTGCTCGCGAGTAGCTTGGCTCATTTGCAGCCCTATACAAAACATGAGAAAATGAGTGTAGTGCGTCCCAAATCTCAACGAAAACTCACTGATTCTCGGACTCGTAAATCGAATTAGCACCGGAATCATTAGTCATTACACACATCGAGACAGCTAGTGTGGAGGGCAAACCAGGGTGACCACTTGCTTCTG